GCCTCTGATGCCACCATGTGTAAAATATTTCCCGCCACTCTTGGAGGAGACGCTCGTCGATGGTACTCTCAGCTTCGCAATGGTATCATCAACAACTTCACCGAATTTTCCACACTATTCCGGTGCAAGTTTTACGCCCAAAAGCGACAAGCAGTGAGCATTAATCAGCTCATGAATTGAATACCAAGCAACGAGAGGGTGAGGCTTTAAAAGCCTATTATGCTAGGTACAACACCTTGGCTATAGGCGTCACTTCCCTCTCTGTTGAAGTAATTGTCAACACGCTGACACGAGGAACAACAAACAGTCTTCTCCGGGCTTCCCTCATCAAGAAACCTCCTCGGAGTATGTTTGAGCTACAGGAGCGGGTTATGAAGTACATCGGTCTAGAAGAAGCTTTACAAGATTCCTCCTACGTGGTGCCAAAGCGTAGGAGGGATTCGCCTCCACCGAACCGAGAAACTTTACAACGCCCCCGTCCAACTTTGGATAACATGCCCAAGGCTCAAAAAGATGATCGCAGAAGGGATGGACCATTCCATTCAGGCCAAAATTTCACCCCTCTCAACAATCCACGAAGGACTGTTCTCCAGGTCATTCAAGATAAAAAGCTTCCGGTGACATGGCCACCTCGAGGTCGCATAAAACCAAGAAATGGAAAAAACAAATTTTGTGACTTTCATCGGGGATACGGGCATGACACTGAGGAATGCGAAAAGTTGAGAAGATCCATCGAGGGGCTAATTCAAAATGGACAACTTAAGTAGTTCATCCAAAGCTCCAAAGGCTCAATCCAACAACCTTCGTCATCGGACAAAGGAAAAACTCCACAGGGAAGCAGACCGGTGTTAGGTGTCGTCCCAGTCATACATGGAGGAACTGGACTACGACAGGAATGTTCCACCTCCCGTAAGTCCTACGCCCGAGCTTTGGTTGGATCCGCCTCAACTATCTCTGATCAGGATCCCATATTTTTTGATTCTCGGGACCTCGAGGATATTGAATATCCCCATGATGACCCTCTGGTAATTGAGGCTACCATCGCCAATTACACCGTGAAACGAGTTCTCGTTGATGGAGGGAGCTCAGCCGACTTACTTTTTTACCCTGCTTTCTGCTCGTTGGGTCTTCGCTTGGATCGTTGTCAACCTTCCAACATTTTTCTTTTGGGTTTCTCTGGAAACCAAGTCCCAGTACTTGGAACTCTACCTCTACACGTATGCATCGGCAATGGCGACCAAACAACTGAGACGTTGGTTAACTTTCACGTGGTTGACTGTTCCTCTGCATACAATGGAATTCTTGGAAGACCGTTTCTACAAAAAACTCGCGTCGTCCCTTCTACACTTCATCTCAAATTGAAGTTCCCTACTCCGTCCGGAGTAGGTTGTGTCCGAGGGGATCAATCAATCGCTAAGCAATGTTGTGCATTCTCCCTCAACGATAGACATGTCACTACCGTCGACACTCGAGAAGAGATAGCTCGCCCTATTCCCGTCGACCTTGATGAGGAACAAGCTATTCAGGATGACCTTACCATCCGTGTCTCAACCTCATGGCCTAAAGAAGCTCTTCCTCAGCTTCTCGACTTAGTCCGTGAGTTTAAGGAGCTACTTGCCAAAGGTCCCGAAGACATGCCTGGACTTAATCGCCGGGTAGCTGAACATGCCCTAGGGGTTCTCCCAGGGTGTCGCCCTGTACAACAAAAGAGAAGGAACTTCGCATGGGAACGACGTCAAGCTATTGCAGAAGAAGTAGTCAAGCTCGCTCAAGCAGGATTCATCCAAGAAATCTTCTACCCCACCTGGCTGGCCAACGTTGTTATGGTAAAAAAGGCCAATGGGCAGTGGAGGATGTGCGTAGACTTCACCGACCTCAACAAGGCATGCCCAAAAGACCCATATCCTCTTCCAAAAATTGACCGATTGATTGATGCTACCTCCGGACACCGCTTTCTTTCTTTCCTCGACATGTTCTCTGGTTATCACCAGATTCCCATGAAGAAGGAAGATCAAGAAAGAACGGCATTCATGACCCCGGTTGGTAATTACTGCTACAAAGTTATGCCTTTTGGCTTAAAGAATGCTGGAGCCACCTATCAGCGAATGGTTGATCGTGTCTTCTCACGTCAACTTGGACGGAACCTGGAAGCCTACGTTGATGATATCTTGGTAAAAAGTAACAGTATCAACGAGCATCTAGAAGACCTTAGAGAAACATTCAACACACTTCGTGCATATGCCCTTCGCCTAAACCCTAAGAAGTGCGTTTTTGGGGCGACTGCTGGAAAGTTCATAGGGTTTATGGTAACCCGGCATGGGATCGAGGCCAACCCTCGGCAAATTGATGCCATACTCCAAATGTCCTCCCCAACCAGAGGCAAAGAAGTACAAGTTCTCACCGGTCGCATCGCCGCACTCAATCGGTTTATCTCCCGTGCTGGCGATCGTTGTGCCCCATTCTTTTCCACTTTGAAGGGTGCTGGGAAACACTTTGAGTGGACACCTGAGTGCGAAAAAGCTTTTACTAAGCTCAAAGAATTTCTGGTGACACCTCCGGTACTTTCTGCCCCGGTGAATAATGAAACCCTTTTCATGTATTTCGCCGTGTCCGAAAAGGCAGTGAGCTCGGTACTTCTTCGCCGAGATGCTGACAACACGGAGCATCCTATATATTATACTTGTAAAACTCTACTTGATGCTGAGACCAGGTATTCACCCGTTGAAAAGGCTGCCTTAGCTGTGGTGGCGGCCTCCAGAAAGCTACGCCCATACTTCCAGAGTCACGCTATTTGTGTTTTCACACAATTGCCACTTCGAAGGCTACTCCAACGTATGGACGTAGCGGGTCGAATGATCAACTGGGCCATTGAATTAAGTGAGTATGATATCACTTACCTCCCTCGTACAGCCATCAAATCACATGTGCTTGCTGACTTTGTGGCTGAGGGAATTCGAGCTACCACACCTTCCGAGTTAGAAACATGGAGGCTATTTGTGGATGGAGCTTCAAGCAAAGCCGGCTCTGGAGCAGGAGTTCTTCTCATCAGTCCATTGGATGTTACCCATGAGCTGGCTGTCCGCTTCACAACTTCCAGAACTAATAATGCTGCTGAATATGAAGCCCTCCTAGCTGGCTTGACCATGGCGCAAGAACTAGGAGTCCAACGAATATTGGTGCACTCAGACTCTGCCCTTGTCGTCAACCAGGTTCTAGGGGCATACGAGGCTCGTGAACCCGCACTAACCGCCTATGTCAACGCCGCTCGGACTAGTATAGCCAAGTTTGCACATGTTGAGATAAAACATGTATCACGAGAAGAAAATATCCATGTCGATGCTCTCTCGAAGCTTGCCACAGCAGAGACTTCCCCGATGACAGGAATGTGGTAGTTGAGCGTCGCCCTCCTTTGTTGTGCGCTCCTATTATCTCATCATCAACCCCACAAGATTGGCGCACACCCCTCACAGAATATCTCCAACATGACCTTCTACCCACTGACCCTAGAGAAGCCATGAAACTTAGGAGGCGTGCTCCTCGCTACCTCCTCATTGAAGGTGTACTCTACAAAAAAAGCTTTGTTGGCCCGTACCTACGATGCCTTGGCGAAGGGGAAGCAAATTTTGCCATCCGCGAAACTCACGACGGATCATGTGGAATGCACGTTGGCCCGCGAAGTCTTGAGAAAATTCTTCTCCAACAGGGATACTACTGGCCTACTATGCGCCGAGATACACGAGACTACGTCAAATCTTGTATCAAATGCCAGATTGCTGCCCAAGTGCCACATGCACCGCCTGGGCCAATGCAAGGAAATATAAGTCCATGGCCATTCGCCCAATGGGGAATGGACTTCTTAGGACCATTTCCTGAAGCCCCTGGACGAAAAAATGGCTCATTGTGGCAATCGACTACTTCACAAAATGGGTCAAAGCTAAAGCCATCACTGGGCTAACGGCCCAACAAGTCGAGAAATTCTTATGGGAAAACATCATTTGTCGCTTCAGTCTTCCCCACACCATCATCCTCGATCAAGGGACACAGTTCACAAGTGAGAGTCTTCAAGCATATTGTGCACGATATGACATCCTCCTCCGCTATGCCTCTGTTGCCTATCCTCAAGGTAATGGACAAGCAGAGTCAGCCAATAAAAACATCCTCTGGGGACTAAAGACTCGACTGAATGAAGCAAAAGGAAAGTGGGCGGAAGAACTTTCTCATGTTCTTTGGGCCCATCGCACGACCTATAAAACTGCCACAGGAGAGTCGCCCTATGCCCTGACCTTTGGCGTGGATGCAGTAATTCCTGTGGAAACAGAGCTTTACTCTTACCGAATTGAAGCATTCCACCCTGACGGGAATCAACATGAGCTCATTCATGACCTCCAACTCATCGAAGAACGTCGAGAAGACGCTCTCCTCAGAATGACAACCATGAAGGAACGAGTAGCTCGTTACTACAATACCAAAGTAAAGCAGCGACCGATACACGAAGGTGAATGGGTTCTCCGTCGCAACTTTTATCACAAAAAAAGCTTGGGAAAGTTCAATCCACCATGGGAAGGGCCCTACAGAGTACGCAAAGTGGTCGGTCCCAACACTGTCAAACTTTCTGATGCTAATGGCCGAAACATTCCCCGCACATGGAATGCCATGCACCTTCGAAAGTACTTTACGCCATAATATGTACCGAGTATGCCATAATATGTACATAGTATATGCCATAATATGTATTACGTGTTTGTTGCGACATGTACAGAAGGTTTGAAATAAAAAGGTGATACGTCACCACCTAGTTTTATTAAAAGCCGCTGAAATGTACAACGCAAAATACACGGCTACATATTTATGGCAAACTACTATATGTACATAGGCAAAATACACAACTACATATCTATGGAAACTACTATATACATAAGTGATATACCCGAATACATATGCGGAGCAAGATACTACCTATATCGGGAAAAAGTATGCTACCGCTACAAAGCTACGCTATCTCACATATGAGGATCAGAACCAAGTATTTCACCCATACTTACCCAAGCATGCTCAGCTGAGATCGCTAGCTCTGTCGGAACTGGGCTATCCATGGCAGCAAGAAAGGACTGGGTCGCAGAATCCGTGCCAAACAGTGGTGTTTCACTAAGAGGCTCAGTTTCGTTGGTGTTGTGTTGGATCACCGCCTCCCCAGATGAAACTGCCCTGACTCTGGTATCTGTCTCTCTCCGTATGCGTGTCTCGTCTGACTCAGCCTCTGGAAGTATATCACATGGGTCATCTGAGAGTATGGCACCTCCTGAGGTTTCCCTCGATGTCTGTTGCACTTGACGCTGTAATTCTACTACCTCTGCAAGAGCATGGTCGTGCTCCATCATAAGAACTTCTTTCTCGGCAGCAGCGCTACTTCTGAAGCTTCTGTTATTTGGAGCTTCTTTGAATTGATCGTTACCTGGCTTTGAGCCTCCTGGAGGAGTGCCTGGAGCTTTTCAGCACGATTCCTGGCTTCCTCCAACTTCCGATTCTGGCTGCGAAGATCATGCCCACACGCGCTGCATTTTGCTGAGTTGTCCCAATTTCTGACCTGGCTTTCGCCACACGCCTCTCCATCTCCGCGGCGTACTGATTCATCTGCAGTAAATACTATGGTTAGTTAATTCATCATAACGTACATTATCTAAAATATAGTAAAATTGCCTGGTTTTGCGATCTCTCAAAGCAAAGGCCAGCAGCCTCGCCTTCAAGAGGAGGAAGTTGACTTACCATGTCACACAAATTGCGATAGTTCAAAATTGGCGGGGCATTTATTCGTCCTCCACCCGAAGTATCGGGACCAGTTCTAGGACGAAGCTCTGACCTTTGCAATGTCCTCGTCATTTGGGGGCGGTTCTGCTCACCCTCACGGGTGGGACGACTCGACCTGCCGACTTCATAATCTCTTCTAAAAGTTGGCTCAGAACTCTTGTCTCGACGTGGAGTCAAAAGACGCGCTCGCTTGTTTGGACCATCAATCGACGTCGGCACTGCTGGTCTAGGAACCTCGGGAATTTCACGGATCACCACTCCACCTTGTGGGCTAGAGATATGCAATGGTAACCTCGTGGAAAATAAGGCATTCTCCTGAATTTCCATACATGCTCTAACACGTGAGTAGGCTGCAAAAAAATAACACATAAGTAATGAGGTAACACTAGCATATGAACAAACAACACACAGAACGTACCATCATTATAGACCCTGAGGAATAGGACAGCCCGTGCTTCTGGAGTCTCAATATCAATCGGCCCCGCTTCTGATATCCTTCTCACTTGGGAAGCTAGCTCTCCTTGGGCTAAGTGTTCTTTCCACACTTCATGTCTCTGTAATCCCCCCAAATCGATAGTCCTCCACTCGGAAGGGACCTCCACACCATTATAAGAAATTTCACCTGGAGCTGGAAGGAAGTAGAAAAACTCACGTTCCCAACCTTGGCGTGCACGACCATACCGAGTTGCGAGACCAAATGCTATAGATCTACGGTGAAGGCACCATCCCGTACTCTCTTCATGAAGATAAAAACATGCATGGAATAATTCCGATGAAGGTGATACACCGGCTCTATGACAACCCAACCGAAAAGCAGCTACAAGCGTCCAAAAACCAGGTGTCATAGTACTCACCGTCAAATGGGATCTCTGCATTACCTCACATAACCATGCAGGAAAGGGGAAACGAAGCCCGTAATCAAGAGACTCTGCATATACAGCATGCCATCCCGTACCACGGGTACCTGGAGTAGAACGTCGTGTTGGGATAGCATACTCCCAGTGACGCGGCATATCAAAATCTATCAAAGTTTCATTCACCCAACCTGCATCCCGATTAAAACGTCCACCCGGGCCTATCCTGGTGAACTCTGACACTTGGGATATGGAAGGAAACATACCACGCCATGGACGAAGAGAAAATGATGATGAGCCTCGTCGATTTAAAGCTGATGATCTTTCTCTTTGGGTTAGCTGTTCATCTCTTCCACGCACCATCTCCGAGCCGGGATTTATACGCAGCGACATGGATAAATCAGGTAATCCATGTGATGTAGGGAGCTCCGCACGAGAACTTGATGGTTGTTCTCTCGCCATCCTCCTACTACAAAATGTAAAACTATTTATTATTCATAGATTAAAATATATTAAAAAGCAAACCTATGTAAGTAACCTAAATGAACCATGCATGCATAAAATAAAATAAAAAGCAATAATTAACATAGATTGGGGGAGAAAGTATTATCTAGCCTTAGTAATGGCGGATATGGAATTGTGGGGTGAAATTGAATTTCACGTGAACAATGGGCGGGAAGTTTCTAGCTTGGTGGATGCACGATTGAAATGAGGTCAAAAGCTAGATTTCCTTAGCTCACAAAACTTTGCCTATTAATGGAGGAATATGGTGAGGAAATGAGATAGGAGGGAAGGGTGGGGGAATTTTCTTCTGCTTGGACGAAGAGATGAATGGGGAGTGTAGAAGGATGGAGAGTTTAGAAGGATGAAGTAAATCTTTCTATTTATAGTGTTTACTAATAAGGGATCTTCTATCACCCATATTAGTAAGGGGGCATGTGATGGATCCCATAAATCACTCCTCACTTCTTCTACTCCATCCACCAATAGTCATTCACAACCAATTCTTTTCACATGGACAAAGGGTAAAAAAAGGCTGACAAGATACTACCTACGTACCTACGTGGCTACAAGTGGTAAAGTTACCACTTCCCTTCATGGCTAGGTGAGGATGACATGATAATTACCACCAACCCATCTACATGCACAAGCCCCCTAAAATTGACACCTCATCATTTCCCCTTTCCATATGTAAGAGCTATCTAGCTTAATTAATGGTAGATGGTTTATGGAAACCAAACTAACTACACGTGGAGAGAGGGAAAGAATGTTAATATACTTACCATCTTTCTACAGAGTGCATGAACAACCAAATTAGGACAAATAATTCCCCCACTTTATCATTTCATGGCATAGCTCCATCTCATTTCATCTTCCACGTAGACTAGGAACAGGAAATATAGCCACGCTAGCATTTTCCATCCCACCAACCAAACTAACCATATATGCAAATAGCTACACGTGAATAAATGAGGTGGTGAGTAGCAAAGCAATATCATACAAACCACCTCATTTTAGTTACACGTAGTAAATAACCAGGTGGAAAAGTCCATTTCCTCAAAGCAACCATTACACTATTGATTTGTATTAGTCTTCCATCCAAAGCATGCTACACGTATGGTCAATGGCAGGTAAAGTATAACTCTTTTCATTTTACATAGAAGGTAAATAGCATGATGTGTATATTCGCATCCAGCAAAGGTAGGCTCCCTAGATGGCTGGTAGAGTAAATGAGTTATTTAAAAGGTACGCCACCCATGCCAGTAGCAGGAAGCACCTATAAATAGGTCGTTCATTTATGTTCTCTCGGCAATCCATCTCAAACCTAGAGAACTTACTTTCTCTGAACGAGATCGGAAAAGGGGAATTCCAGACAAACTTCTTCTAGGCGAATTGGCAACTTCCAACCCCGAAATTTCTTTTTCTTTCTCCCTAGAGCCGGCTCTATATGCCGCTCCCGGTTATTTCCAAATACTGATTTGAGCTTTGGAGAAGGTCCCAGCCGACCACAACCGGCGGGTCCTTTTTTGCAGGTGTTCATCTCGAGAGCTGGAATTCAACGGCAACCAAAAGGTCAACGCTCTCCGGACTCTACAACGTTCGAGGTCAGCTATTTTAGCTTGGCATCAACAACTAGTTTAATCATTTGTTTTGTTTTGTCATGTTTTGTGTAGCATCATGTTTTTTGTGTCGTTTTGTTTTTGTGTTGTCATTGCTTTTCACCCACCTTTCTCCTTGAGGGGTGGTTTGTGTGTTTGATTGTCTTTTTAGTGTTTTTGTTGTTTATAGTTTGTGAATAATGGCTCCATATGGTTGGCTCGAGGAGTGGGAAGATCATCAAAGGCTGAATTGGTGGTATCTCGAAGCTTCTAGTAGCGGGGCTAGCCAAGAATCTCATTTTCAAGAAAAACCACCTCTCAATGCCTATCAACGGTACCCCCATGATTACCAAGCATCTCCACCAGCATACCAAGAACCACTGCCAAAACCTATGGTGAAGACCGAGTTGGAGATGGCCATTGAGCGACTTAAGGCGAGTACTCCATATCTAGATGGCCTTGGGACAACTCAGTCAACTCCAACCCCAGAACCAAATAGTCTCTTGGAGCTAGAGTTAGAAAAAACTCATGGTCTGTAGGGGGAGTGCACTTCATCATTCACCATCACCTACACCAAAGAGCCTTAGAGAGTTAGCATTCAAACTCTACAACAACCCAATGGAGTGCCTAGATGCTAGCTATCCCAACCTTACTCCGGGTTGTTTTTAGATTAAATATGTTAAACGAGAGAATGGTGGCTCTAATAGGTGGGTACCGTAGGGACATCTTGCATCAAGGGAAGTCCTGACCCTTCTACTTAAGAATTCCTCAAAGGACAAGAAGAGATGCTCAAGAGGATAGAGAAGAACAGAAGACGTATTAAGCAACTTTGCTCGAGACTCAATCAAGAGCGCCTCTTCAACATCAAGAATGAAGCCAAAGATGAAATAGTATAAGAGGAAGGTATCTCAAGGGTGGTCAAGCAAATGAACCTTCATAAACCATCTATTGAAGAACTTGCTTGTAAAACCATCATTGCTCCTAATCATCAAGGAGCGAGAACTAAAGAAGGAAGCATTGATGAGGTTGCGAGGAAGAAAGAAGAAAGTGAAGAAGATGAAGAGCTTGGTACTCAACATGAGGAAGATTCTTCACAAAATGGAGAAGCTTGTGGCGGATGAAGCTTCGACAAGTTACACGTGCTACAAAAGCTTTCCACCCAACCTTGATGCACTTTTAGACAAGGACCCTTTTTGTGAGTTCTCTTTGCCAAGCCAAGGCCACACCGTCAACAATCCCTCTTGGTGGATTTAATTGCATTCCTTCAAGGTTGTATTACACGGTATGGGGCAAAGAGAAGAAACAAGAAGGAAAGAAGAAGAGGTCTCTTGGGTGGAGACACAATTCTTGCCAAGTCCAAGAGTCATCCATATTATTTGAAGCATCCAACGCTCGAGACTTGAGACACCAACTCACGGATGAGAACCTCAACTTCATGGAGTTTCTAAGCTGGACCGAATACTTGAAGATAATCGTCCGGCGGTAGGACTTAAAAGACGCACTTGTTGGGAGGTACCCCAACAACCAGTTTGCATTTTCTTATCTTTTTCAAAATAAACGTATGTATGATTGATCTTGTTTTAGATAGTTTCTATAGTTTTAGTTAGTGAATGAATCCCT